AAACACACTCAGTAACCAACATTCAAAAGGGAAAAATAGGTCACTACCAGCATCATCAAATCGATCATTTCTGGGCTCCGAATCCACCATCATGGCCCCTCTCAGCCACTGCCTCTTCTGGGCAACTACCAGCCCCACTTCTAACAGCGTGGATTAGTTTGAGCGGCATAACCAAGCTCCAGGTAATTCAAAAGTGAAACAAAATTTAATATTTTTAAAAGAAAGGGTCCTAGGAACTCATATAAACCTTGGGGATGGGCGATCCAGGGTAAGACAAATAGAGTAGAGCCAAAGCAGTGTTTTTTCTTTCATGATTGCTAAAGCAAACGGTGACATTACAGCAGTGAGTCACATGCCCAGAGTGACAGAGGACCCCAGTGTACCTGTGGAGAAAATCATAGTAATAGAAGTGCACACAAAACTGCTGCGTCACAAAGGTTCTGTGCTTGTGAGAATTTTTTTTTTTTTTTTTTTTTGAGGTAGAGTCTCACTCTGTTGCCAGGCTGGAGTGCAGTGGTGCGATCTCAGCTCACTGCAACCACTGCCTCCTGGGTTCAAGTGATTCTCCTGCCTCAGCTTCCCGAGCAGCTGGGACTACAGGTGCCCACCACCATACCCAGCTAATTTTTGTATTTTTAGTAGAGACAGGGTTTCACCATGTTGGCCAGCATGGTCTCAATCTCTTGACCTCGTGATCCACCCGCCTCTGCCTCCCAAAGTGCTGGGATTACAGGCATGAGCCACTGTGCCCGGCCGCTTGCAAGAATGTTTAATATTTGCTTTCTGACTTTCAAGGTGTCTTTCGTTGCATGTGTGTGTGATCTGTTGCTTTTCAGGTTAAATTGTGAGCACCAGAATTTCTGGGGTGAGGTGTCCTGAACTCCCTTTTCCAGTTGTCATATAGGATGTGGGGAGACCCTGTTGGGTGATCTGGAAGAGCCAGGGCAGAAACTGGCCAAGGTGACAGTGCTTGGAAGAGTCGTGGCCAGCCTGATGCATACGATACCTTAAACATTCCATGTATTGTGTCTTCTTCAACAGGGTTGTCCTGTGGAAATAGACTGTGTCTTCAATGGACTCTAACAGGTCCACCAGCCAGAACAGACCTTAAAATATGGCTGTGCCTGTGTCCTTGATTATGCTGAAGTCACGGGTTAGTGTCATGAAACAAAATGTGAGGTAGCTAAGGTTCTCAAGTGAATTTTTTTTTTTTTTTTTTTTGAGACAGGGTCTTCCTCTGTTACCCAGGCTGGAATGCTGTGGTGCGACATCTGCCTCCTGGGTTCAAGCAATTCTCCTGCCTCAGCCTCTTGAGTAGTTGGGACTACAGGCATGCACAACCATGCCTGGGTAATTTTTGTATTTTTAGTAGAGATGGGGTTTCATCATGTTGGCTAGGCTGGTCTTGAACTCCTGACCTCAGGTGATCCACCCACCTCGGCCTCCCAAAGTGCTGGGATTGCAGGTGTAAGCCACCGCACCTGACCCTCAAGTGAAAACTTAAACTTACTTGCAACATTCTCTAATTTCTAAAATTATTTGAATTTTATGAGATAAACATGTTTGCTGTTTTTCTTTATAAAAGTCATTTTACTCCACAGCATGATAGAACATTTTGTAGAACTTGGTGTAAAAGAAATTGCTGAGTCATTTAGTTGTTTTCTCTTAAATAATTAAACATGCTTTACATATGTCACTTTATATTCTAAGTAGTCCCACGCGATGCATGTTTAAATGGGACACATAATTTATTAAATGTCAGTAGTAAAATGGAACCAAATTTTTGTTATACAATTACTAATTTTGCACTAAGAAAATAATGCCTTTTATTGAGGAGCATTTGTGGGACTTTTATCTTGCCCTGCAGAGAAAATTCAGTGATTCTCTTGTGGGGAAATTTGCTTTCCAAACCGTGTTTTCCCTCTTTATAAAATCTTTTGGCTGAGTGTGGTAGCTCATGCCTGTAATTCTAGCACTTTGGGAAGCCAAGGCAGGAGAGCTGTTGAGCTCAGGAGTTTGAGACCAGCCTGGGCCACATAGGGAGACCCCATCTCTACAAAAAATAAAAAATTAGCTGGGTGTGGTGGTGCATGCCTGTAGTCCCAGCTACTAAGGAAGCTGAGGCTGGAGGATCGCATGAGACTGGGAAGTTAAGGCTGTGGTGAGCCATGATCGTACCATTGCACTCTAGCCTGGGTGACAGAATGAGACCCTGTCTTTAAAAAAAAAAAAAAAAAATTTCATTTAGTACAGTTTGGATGTCTGTAGAAGGAGCCATTTACTTTGTCTGCATGATTGTTATTTGACAGAGTTCTTGATCTTTGTTTCAGTTTCAGGGTACCTGCAGAATGCAGACATTTTGAGTTAAGAAAACCACACATCTGTCTTCAAAATTGAGATTACCCTCTGTATTTCATTTTTCATAATTGCACAGAAAACACCTATTTTCCCATATTACACTCTCAGCTTTTCTGTTCCTATTAGCTTCATGTCCTAAGTAACATTCCTATGAATATTTTGCAACAAAGTGGGGAGGCTAAAAAGTAAAGGACTATTTGGTAAACAAATATAATGCAATTTATGCAGACAAACAAGTGTTACCTACTTCAGAACAGACCCCTCAGAATCCAATATCTTAATTCTAGCAAGCCTGTGTCAGAGGCTAGGACCTTTACTTTTGGGAAGAGTTAAAAGTAACTTGGAACCAAACCTGATAAATAAGGGCTGAGAAACTTACATGGGGAAAGGAACTGACATTTCTTGAGCCAGTTCCATATAGGAACACATTAGTTCCATATAGCAACACATACCATAATAGGAATTGTGCTTATGGGAATGGACCTGTAAGAACTGTCTCTGTGTTATAGCTGGGCGGGTTCAGAGAAGTAAATGACCTGCACAAGTTCACATAACTAGTGAGTGGGTCCTTCTGCAGGTCTCCAAAAGTGATTTATGCTTTCTTCTGTATTATGATGATTATTTTATTTACTGTTTTTTTCTAGCTGTGTTAGAAAAATATGTCTTTAATATCATAGAACAATTTTTTTTGGTCTGGTTTATAAACTGATCCTAAATACAAATGAACAAGAGGAAATAAAAATTTTGAAGAATGTCATCATTATTGAAATGAACAACTTCTTGGAAGGAACACCCTAATATAGATGTCTATGTTCTATTCGTGTATGTGAGAAAACAAGTGTTTGAGATTATGCGTCATATGTGATAAATGACTTCACCCAATTTTCCAAATTATATGACTTGGATTTCACACTGGGTGTTTCAAAAATTTGTTGATTAACTTATTGGATAGTGAGTTACTCATTCGCATATTATGGAAGTGACTTTAGGAATGTTAACTTGATTATTTTTGGTTACAGCTAAAAGCACTTGCTGCTATAAGGTTGTTCTTTCATAGGCAAATAACTGCGCTGATATTGGAGGCAGGAAGGATAAGAGCACCAGGTAACTCTAAAACTAGGAGCTTAGTCACCCTATGAGGGCACCAGGTCAGAGGCCACTCAGATTAGAGGGAGTTCTGGGTGGCACAGAACTTGGTGCAGGTGTTTTTAAAAAAGTTTTTAAGGAATTAGAATTTTGTTAGTAATGTTCCTCTACTAAGAGTATCAACATCGACACTTAAGAAAAGAAGGGGGTAAAAATAGAGAGTATCAGCATACAATTTCTGAGATGTAAAAAGTAAAACATTTTCGGCCGGGCGCAGTGGCACACGCCTGTAACCCCAGCACTTTGGGAGGCTGAGGTGGGTGGATTGCCTGAGGTCAGGAGTTCACGACCAGTCTGACTAATAGGGTGAAACATCATCTCTACTAAATCCTGGTGCATGCCTATAATCCAAGCTACTTGGGAGGCTGAAACAGGAGAATTGCTTGAACCCAGGAGGCGGAGGTTGCGGTGAGCCGAGATTGCGCCATTGCACTCCAGCCTGAGCAACAAGAATGAAACTCCATCTCAAAAAAAAAACAAAAACAAAACGAAAATTACCTGGGTGTGGTGGTAAGCTCCTGTAATCCCAGCTACTCAGCAGGCTGAGGCTGGAGAATCTTTGAACCCAGGAGGCGGAGGTTGCAGTGAGCCAAGATCGCACCATTTCGAATCTCCGTCTCTAAATAAATAAATAAATAAATAAATAAATAAATAAATAAAACACTTTCATATTATAAGTCTAAGACAACTTCTTGCTTTTGTTTTATGACTTTTTCACCTAACTTGTTTAAAAATTTTGATATCATTAAAAAAATACATTTGTGGCATCCAAAATACATAAATGTACCACTTATATTCCACATAATTCTTGGTACATATAGGTGCTCAATAAGTGTTTTCTGAACTGATTTGAACTCAGACATTTGCAAAGCATGTTGAATACACTATATGTAATTTTGTAGTCTTTTTTTTTTTTTGAGATGGAGTTTGCTCTGTCGCCCAGGCTGAAGTGCAGTGGTACAATCTTGGCTCCCTGCAGCCTCCAACTCCTGGATTCAAGCGATTCTCCTGCTGCAGCCTACTGAGTAGCTGAGACTACAGGCACGCGCCACCATGCCCAGCCAATTTTTGTATTTTTAGTAGAGACGGAGTTTTACTATATTGATCAGGCTGGTCTTGAACTCCTGACCTCAGGTGATCCACCTGCCTCGGCCTCCCAAAGTGCTGGGATTACAGGCATGAGCGACTGCGCCCAGCCAATTTTGTAGTCTTTTATACAGATAATATTGGTTGCTAGCATGTGTAAACTGTTTTACTCAAGTATGCTAATAGCACAACAGAGTAGTTAATACAGTATGATTGAGAAAAACAATTAAAAAATGCTTTATATCTACATATATCACATTATGTAAGATGGGCCAGTGAGCTGGTAGAATCAGGAAGCCAAGATGAAGCCAGGCAGATAGGCCTCATGCTCTTCTGGAAGGCTAGCTCTGAGGTAAGTGTTGTTTGAGACACAGAAAGTCATTCCAATTATTTAAAAAATCTCTTTCCAGAAACCGAAAGTTCCAGCATCTCCCACCAGAGAGGAGGATTCCTGCTTTTCCTTTCCTAAGCCCCCAGTGGACCCTGCGAAGATTAGAAGAATAAGCAGTGCCAGGGCTCGCTTATTCAGGGCTGCCTCCCAGGGGGCCCTTCTGCCGGACAGATCCCTTCCTCCCTCTGACTGTAAGGTCATGTAACATCCTATAATCTCTGGGGACAGGCATGCTTCTTGAATTTTCACACAAAAGCTATTTTTATATGATTTTTCCTAACCCTAGATGATTTTTATGTTAACTAAGAGTTAGTTAATATTGGGAAAAAGCTGGTTAAAAAACATTGTTCATATATTTTTCCGGGTGCTTATAAGGAATACCTAAATATCACAGTTGGTAGGAAAAGAAAATTAGGATAAGTGGCTGGGCGTGGTGGCTCATGCCTGTAATCCCAGCACTTTGAGAGGCCAAAGCAGGCAGATCACCTGAGATCAGGAGTTTGAGACCAGCCTGGACAACATGGTAAAACCCTGTCTCTACTAAAAATACAAAAATTAGCCAGATGTGGTGGCGTGTGCCTGTAATCCCAGCTACTCAGGAGGCTGAGGCAGGAGAATTGCTTGAAACCAGGAGGTGGAGGTTGCAGTGAGCTGAGATCGTGCCACTGCACCCCAGCCTGGTTGACGAGTGAGACTCCATCTCAACAAAAAGGAAAAAAAAGAATATTGGGATAAGTATTCCCTAGTGGATAGTTCACGTATATCAGAAATAAATAATTTTTAAATTAGAGTTCAAAAAGTTGTTAATTTTATTAGAAATTAATGAAAATGGTAAGATTCTTATTATGTTCATTAAGGTTATTTCTTTGAAAATACCCTTCTGATCCCATGTGAGCATGTAAGCAAAATTCCAATGGGACTTTTCCTACTGCCTAAGAATGCTGCCAGGCACCTAAACCTGGGAACAGAGAGGCTAAAGATCACAGCCCAAGGAGTCCCACCAACAATTGGAATCACTCCCCATCCAGGGCATATTAAGGGTTTCTCAAACTGCAGAAAAGGACCCAGAAGTGGGATGACAATCAATTTAGTGGATCCCACCAGCGTTTTTAAAAAATAAAGTAGAATAGAACATAATGGAAAATGTCAGAATACGTAACACACAATAGGGGTAAGTTTTGCTTCAGGAGACTTTACTTTGGTTTTCAGTGTGTGTTCAGGGTCATATTACAAACGATTTCTGACTGTGTGTGGTCAAAAAAAAGTTGGGAAACCACTTTACCAAGAGCTGACAGAACTGGTTCTCCCTCCATCAACAAGATTTGATGAAGAGAGATAGGCTTACAGTCACTGAGAGATGGGGAGAGCCTGGAAGATACATACCAAAGATCACAGCCCCCACCTGAGCATCGTACTTGATGGACAAGTTTTTTTTTTTTTTTTTTTTTTTTTTTTGAGACGGGGTCTCGCTCTGTCGCCCAGGCTGGAGTGCAGTGGCCGGATCTCAGCTCACTGCAAGCTCTGCCTCCCGGGTTCCTGCCATTCTCCTGCCTCAGCCTCCCAAGTAGCTGGGACTACAAGCGCCCGCCACCTCGCCCAGCTAGTTTTTTGTATTTTTTTTAGTAGAGACGGGGTTTCACCGTGTTAGCCAGGATGGTCTCGATCTCCTGACCTCGTGATCTGCCCGTCTCGGCCTCCCAAAGTGCTGGGATTTCAGGCTTGAGCCACCACGCCCGGCCTGGACAAGTATTTTTTTAAATTCATTTCCAGCATTTAAAAAGTAGAAGAATCTCATGGAAGAATCCAGATTTATGACTCCTTGTGAAAAATCAGAAAATCTGGCAACACTGGGTCGCCGTTCCATGTGGCCACAATGGGGCATGATTGGAGCTGAGTGGTACCCCCATTCTGTGGCCAGGATATGGTCTGCAGTCACCGTGTCCCTGGCTTGTGCCATTCACTTGCCCGTTTGGTCCCTGATGAGGCTGAAGAGGTAGAATAAAGGAGGAAAAAGAATGAAAGAAAGGAAAGAAAGAAAGAGAAAGAGAGAAAGGGAGGAAGCGGGGAGGGGGGGAAAGAGGGAGGGAGGGAGAGAGGAAGGAAGGAAGGAGCAAGGAGGAAGGAAGGGAGGGAGGGAAGAAAGGAGGAAAGGAAAGGAAAGAAAAAAAGAAGGAAAGAGAAAAAGAGAAAAAAAGAAAAAGAAAAGAAAGAGAAAGAAGAGAGAGCAAGGGAGGGAGGAAGGAAGGAAGGAAGAGAAGAGAAAAGACAAGACAATGAGGATGTGCAGGGTGTGTGCCTCACACTGTGATGCTGTGACCAAGTATATCATCAGGCAACTTGCTTTACCTCGATGTCCCAATTTGTTTCCTTTCGTACACTGCCAGTCAGTCTGATATTTATTGAACTCCTACTAAGTGCCAGGCACCATTCTAGGCCAACAGAGTTCTGGCCTCAGAGAGCTTACAATCTAGTGAGAGGAGATAGACAATAACAGGAGAACAAATAAGATAATTTGAGTGCTGATGAATGCTCTGAAGAAGATAAACAAGATAATGGACTTGAGAGTGACTGTGGTGGGGTAGTTTGCATTAGCTCAGGTGGCTCTGAAAGGTATCTTTGAGGAGCTGACAGCTGAGTAGGAAGGTGACTCATGAGAAGGAGGCAGCTGTGTAAAAATCCATGGACCAAGTGTCCACATGAAAAGCGAGTGCAATGACCAGGTACGAGAGCAAGTGCTGGTGGTGGAGGACCCGGAGGTCCGGTGGCTGGAAAGTGGCTGATCAAGGGAAGTTGCAGGGAGCTGAGGCCACAGAACTGCCCAGGGCCTCGGAACATGGGAAACACACCCAGCTGTATTCTACTTGTAGTGAAAAGGTAGGGTTTACAAAAGGGAGAGGCAACATGACGTGTGTTTTTTCAACAACAGCAGTTCTCATCTGTAGCTGCCCATGAGAATCGCCTGAGGAGCTCTGCAAAAGCTCCACCCCCAGAGTCCCATGTCAGCTCAGGTAAATCAGAAAGGGTTGGTAATTGCAGGAGCAAAGGGCTTGCCAAGATGGGGGGTACTGGGACCTGGAGGTGAAGGGCACTTCTTATGAACAGGATGGCAGGATTGGTGCGAGGACTCCTACCTTGTTTTTCGTTCTGTGTTCTTGCTTGTGAGGTTAAATACTGTGTATGTGTTTCATGCATTTTTAACTTTTGGGAGTGCACACTAGAAAACCCTGCAGCTTCCACTGGTGTGAAAGTGACTGCAGAGATGAGTGCTTTGCCCACCATCCTCCTCCTCAGTGCTTCCCCAGTGACTTAGCTCCTTCCCCCCTGGGGTACCTGACTGTTGTCTGCATGCTCTGGGAGATGCCCTGTGCAGCTGTCATTTCCCAGCACTGAGGCCAGCTTCACACCTTCAAGGTGCACTGAAGCATGTTTTCATCGTGGCTCTTTTATCCACCCTGTTTGCAGTCACCATTCAGATCATCCCTGAGGTCTGGGCCAGCATTCAGGAAATACTGGCAGCAAAAACTCGTTGTTATTTTTAAAGCACATGTCATCCAATTATAAAGTTATAAAAAATATTTGAGCTCTCCAGCCTTGGAATCATTGTCATTTGTATAAGAGCTCCCTGGGTTTCATTTCAGATCCTCTCTATTGTTTAGAAGAGGTAGGCTTTATGGGGTAACTGAGACTGTAGAAAAGGAGGGCATCCCTTCATTTGCTGTGAAGTCATTTGTGGCTGACACTACCCCACAAGCAGGGCCAGGGTGTGGTGGCAGGTTTGGAATTCCTGCTTTAAGAGAGTGAAAGAGGAAGAGATTTGTGTAGTCATCTCCACAAGGCCAGCAGTATAACTGCTTTGCGTTCACATAGGGCTTTTGGCTGGAGGCAGCACTGCTGTGAATGCTTCCCCAGTTATTCAAGCCAGACAAGAGGCCTGAGACCAGTACCACCTCCTCAGCCATCCCTGTCAAACTCTGTGTCAGCAAGCCCTACATGTGCTTCCTGACTAGCTCTTGAGTCTGCATTCTCCCTCACCACTGCCGTGGTGCCTCCATCCCTCTTGCCTCATCCTGTTTTGCTACTTTTAAACCACCCTCTGCTCACTGGGGTGCTGTGATGGTCTGCAGGTCGGTGGGTGCAAGGCCCTCAGCCTGAGGAACAGCCAGCGGAGCCTAAGGATGCTGAGCTCCCAACACGACATGGCTATGAGCAGCAGCGTTATCCCTTTATCCCAGGGGACCATGAAAAATGATCATTTTCTGTGTGTTCCATAAAGCACAAGAGGTCGGGAAGCAAATAAAGATCAGATTGCACCATCCTCTTGCTGAAAACCCTTCAGAGGCCCCGCTGTGCCTACAGAAGTGTTTGCCAAACTGAGTTCCAGGGAACTCCAGGGAACACTTTTGGCAAAATGTTAATAGCTTTTCTTTGGAAAAAGGTTCAGTGCTCAAATAGGTCAGGGAAACACTGCCTACCCCTCATCTTCTTGGAGAGTCTCTGTGCACACGAGTGTATTAAAGTGTTGGTAAAGAAATCTGTTTAATTTTAATTCAACGTAGCATTTCACAAACCTGCTGGACTGTGGGATCTGTCTTTTGGGAAAACAATTTGCGAAACACTAGCCTACTATGGAAGTTGGCAAACTTTTCCTGTAAAGGGCCAGATAGTAAATATTTTAGACCTGGTCCCTATGGTCTCTGCTCAACCTCCTCAGTTTTGTATTGTAGTGTGGAAGCAGCCATCCGCCAATTTATGGCCACTGAAACTTGAATTTCATGTAATTTTCACTTGTCACAAAATATTGTTCTTTCTTTGATTTTTTTCTAACCATTTAAAAATGTAAAAACCGTTCTTAATTTGCAGGCTACACGAAAACGAGGTGGGGCAGATTTGGTGGGGCTGTAGTTTGCTGAGCTCTGGTGGGGGTGGCGGGGGATGAAGTCCCAGCTCCTCCAAGTGCACAGCTGTGTTGTGATCCAGCCCCAGCCCAACATTCCAGGCCCTGCTCACGCCTGTCCTGGGCCTGCCCCCTCACGGTGGGTGCACCGGCAGGGTGGAACCCCTTTTTGTTCCCTACACCCACCCTGCTGTTTCAAACCTCAGGCAGAACCTGCTGTGTAATTTGCTGGGTCCAATGCTGAATGAAAATGTGGGGCCCTTTGTTCAAAGATTATTAAGAGTTTCAAGATAGCCACAGCAGAGCCTTAAAACAAGTGTGGGCCCTTCTAAAAGTGGGGCCCTGCCTGACTGTACCGGCAATACACACTTGAAGCTGGCTTTCACTCCAGACTTTTGTTCTCTTTTCTTCAAGCTGTTTACCTCTTATTAACCATTCAAAATGCTTCTCAGCCCCCACCTCTTCTGTGAAGCTTTCTCTGACCAACTCCTAACCCCTCAAGCTTTCTTCACTCTCTCTGCCCCCTCCTTACCTGACTGGGGCCACACTGGGCTTCATTTATCTCTTTACACATCTGCCCCCTTTGTCTCCCCTACTAGACAGAGCAACGTCATTAAGAAAAGTGTTTTTCTCTATTTGTTGCCCAAGAGCCTATAACAGGGTGTGGTATATAACAGATACCAAATAAATATTTGTGAAACTGAACTGGTCCTGCATGGTAAGGCTGCTGGGAGCTGTTTCCTTTTGAAGTTTACCCATGATCCATTACAAAATTCATACAATGTGCTTCTACTATCTACCAAGAAGATACAGACCATAGCTACGCATGCTCAGTTTCATCGAGGACATTCATCAGGAATGAGAGTGAGCCCCCCAGGGCAGCTCTTCGTTGTAGTAATAACTGACAAGCTTACTCCAGTAGATTTGAAGATAGACAGGTGTAGCTCCTCGACCAATAGGTATGGTTGGGTTCCCCTTCTAGAAGCTCCATGATGGCCAGGACTTGTTCACCATGGCTTCATCCATGCAGTGAACAGCACCTGGCACGTAGTGGTGGGTGCTTCATAAATATTCAGGGAGTGAATGAATAAGAAAAACGAATGCTAAAAGATAACGATAGGCTAAAAGTACTTGGTAATCGGAAACAGAATGTGTGCTTCATAATTCAGTAGTAAAGTCATTGAAGGTGGTGTGGTGGTATGGAGAGAGCCCTAGCCCGGAAGTCAGGATTCTTGGGTTCCAATCATCATAATGACAATAACTTCTAGGTTTTGAGTGTGCTAGCACCATATAAGTCACTTTACTAGGCCACATCATTTTAAATCTCACCACATCCCCAAGAGGTGGGGACCACAGAAGGTGGTGTGTATTGAGCGTCCACATCACAGAGCCGGTGCTCAGGGGGGCCTGCACTCAAACCCAAGTCTGAGCCAAAGCCTGTGTTCTTCCCACCCCATGGTCCTGGCTCTCCCTGTGACCTTAGGTCATTTAACCTTTGGATTCTCAATTTTCTCATCTGAAAAAAAAAAATAAGAAGCCTAGAATCTCTAAGGTTCCTTTCAGTTTTAAAATTTAGTGTTTTGAAAGCAGGGAGTTTGGTCAGAGGGGTAGAATAGGTGGTTTTGTTATTATTAGTTTTTATTGGTTTGTTGGTTTCTTAGTAAGTACAGAAAAGGAAAGGAAACCTTGAGTCATTTTGAAAAATCTTGCAAAACAGTAGGTAGTTTTCTACATGAAACTCATCCCCACCCCCCAACACACTGTATTATGGGAGATTTACTCTCTTCCCCTTTAACAAAATGTTTTCTCACGGACTACAGCCTTGTGGCAGCATAGACAATAAGCTATTCCTAATACCAATTTGCTGAAAAGGGAAGTGCTATATTATTATATGTCTAAAAATCTGGAGTCATAAACAAAAATGATGTCTTCTTGCAACTCTATCTTATCCCTCTTTAGAGGTATGTTTCAATGCCCTGTCCTTTCCATTGCAGAGTAGTGGTCTACTAGGCTAGGCCTCCACAATCCACCCCTCACCCCTCTAATCACCTGTCCTCCTCTTCGCCTCCTTGCACACTGCATTCCTGCTATTCCTTGAGCACCCCAGGCACAGTGGGTGCTGAAGAGTCCCCCACTTCAGCCTACCTTGGGGCCTCTGTACCAGCTGCTCTCTCTGCTCAAAATACTGACCCTGGTGGCTGGATGCCTCACCCCAGAAAGGATTTGTCCTCCCTACCCTACTGTACCCACCCTATTCCCAATCCCCTTAACCCTTCCCCACTTTTATACTTTGCTTTTTTCCCATAGCACTTATTATCTTATAACACCATGTATACCTTATTTATTATGGTGATTGCTTGTTTTCTGTTTATTAGGATGTAAGCCCTGTGAGATCAGGGATCTGTTTTGATGCACACCAAGTGCGTAGGACAGTGTTTGATATGGGGGAGCCACTCAGTAAATGTTTTTTGAATGAAAAATTGCATGATCAAATTCAGGAGGAAGAGCTACTGTTATGGAACACAGGACTACTTCTGTGGACTAGGTAGTTTATAAGCCTGAAGTTGAGAGTTTGCCTTCAAGTAGACTCTAAGCTGATAGAGATAAGATTCTATACATTTTTACCTGCAGAATTGATGGTGCTAGGCTTAAGATACTGGTCTTGTGTATGCTCAGAAAGGCTTTGGCCATAAAATTCCAGACTTAATTATAAGCAATGTATAACTTTAAAACCATATAAATTCTTAGATTGAAAAATAACATTGAAAGGTAGTGATTCCTAAAATAAGAATAACAAAACATTTTCTTGGTTATGTTGCAGCAAAGAAGACAGTGGAATCCAAAGAAACAGTTATGATGGGGGACTCTGTGGTGAAAATAAATGGGATTTATTTAACAAAATCAAATGCTATTTGCCACTTAAAGAGTCACCCACTTCAGCTAACTTATGATGGAGGCTTCAGTGAAATAAAGGAGCAAGAAATGTTCAAAGGAACAACATCCTTACCATCTCATCTCAAGAGTGGAGGGTCAGTATTCTTTTTATTTAATTTTCTGGTCAGGATAATGATGTCATTTACCAGTTTCATCTGTATCTTATATAGATGATTGGTTTGCTTTTTCTCTTTTATATAAGTGAATTTTATGTTAAGGGTACATGAATAGGAGAGACTACTTCTCATGGCCAAATTGAGTTGATTTTATATCATTCCTCATGTAATGCTCAAGAAAACCTTTATTCATGACTGTCACAGTGCTGCTTCTGTAGGACTATCAGAATAAGATTTAGTTGGACTATTCTAGCCATCCCTTGAGTGATAATCATTCCATTTGTGTGTTATTTGCGATTCTTGCATGGCCTGGAATCTCCTATTGTCTCCCTTTGGGTTAGTTCACTGTCCTTAACTCCGCAAGAGTGGACACTTATTTTATTCTTCAGTAGATCTTGGATTAAATATTTATTTTGCAAACTAATGGCTAAAACAGAAGAGTCCTGTAGATTTCAGTTATCTGTGAGATCCCTCCATTAGTCCCTCATAAATGAATGATTGGGAATTACTTTATTTCATACCATGTTCCTCGATAGGGTTTCCTTGAGAATCAATCTTCCTACCATATTAACGATCTGTGGAGAAATGCTTGCTGTTTGGACTGGTGTTTTACTGAAGAAACCTTGAATAATTGGTGGTTGGAATGGGGGAAAGAGTGGAGAGAACAGGCTCTGTTTTCCAGTCCCAGCCAGTAATGATGCTAAGAGAGGCAGAACGTCTTGAACTGGACAGGTCACTCAGTTTAAGATATTTTTTTCTAGGACTTTCCATTGGGTCATCATGGATAACTGCCCAGTTCAGATTTGCTTAACAAGATTAAATTCCATGGGCCATTTTAAGATCAAGTATTTCTTACCCTCACGTTAGATTTCGAGTCTGATTTTGGCTTGGACACATGTAGCATGCTCAAAACTTTTCCCCCAAGTGGCTGCTTGGCAGCTTGTTTAGCTGAACCGACCTTGTCTGCTGACACAGCCTGAAGAGTGTCACACACATGGAATTTATATTAAGCAACCTAGTAGTCCTTGTAATGTCGTTTTGCATTCAGAACATTTTTTTAAATTAAAGGAAAAATGAAATGTCTCCTTAAGTGGAAGAGAGCGACTTCAAATTGGGACTTTGGGAGTTGAGTAGAAAACATCAAACTGGCCATTGCAGACAAATTGTTTCCAGTTGGTGAATAAGAATAGGCTGTGGACCTCAGAGCTTAAACATAAAAGGCAGCAGGAAAACTTGTGTTTCTTTCAGTATTTAAGTAAAAAGGAAACATTTATCTTGCTGCATCCATCCTTACAGTAATGAAAGTTGACTAGAAAAACCAGACAAGAGCTATTTAATTTGTTTATTTGCAAACCTTCAGATGTGGCAGAATAATCTGGAAAGCCAGAGTTCATTAAGTCTTCCTCATTCTGGAACTTCAGGGGCATTTTCAGTTACATGTTTTATCCCACAAACAGCAAAAGACAAATCAGTTAGCACTTCTTCCTCACTGTCCAAAATTATGAGGCGTTGGCAACAGCGCTAATTGTTTTCTTTGTGTTTTGTTAGGATGGCTTTTGTATCATATAAGGATTGCGTCTAAGTTTGGTTTGCAATGTACCCTGGCAAGGTTAATTTTCAGTAACATTTTTGTTTTATGAATCTTTACCTCCTTTAATCATTGGGTGGAATTTTGTTGGAGTGGTGCCAAAAAAGAAAAAAGTTTATATAGTAGGATTAAAACAAACCAGAAAATGGAAACTCTTAGCAATTCTTTCATTAATGACATTAGTGAATCAGTCTGGGACATTTGATAATTGTTTCTTATAAACATTTAAGTGACTAATTCCAAGAAACAATCTTTGCTATGCAATGGACTCTTCCCAGTTTTGATGCTAGAGCCCTACCCTCAATTAACATTTTTTCATCTTTAGACCATAAAGTGAAAATGAAGACTCTTGTCAGTGAGCTGGGCTGGCAGGAGCAGGGAGGGCTGAGGAGTGTGTAAGTAGACTGTGGAAAGGGGACAGAGTGGGTGAGGACACACTCCTAGTGTGGGGACCTTGCAGGCTTGTCCAGTGTGAGAGTGGCCACCTGGGTGGTGTGTGTTTGTCTGGCTGGGAGAGGAAGGAGCATTTTATTTCCATGAAACTGCAGTAATTGTTATACTCTCATTTAAAATATGGATAATTCAGATATGGAATGGACTGGAGTTCAACTTTATGCTGGTTATAGTGGAAAAAGGATTTGCTAAGCAAAGTATCATTGTAAACAATATTTTAGAGGACTATTTAACTTTACAAAAGAGAACACACTCTCAAGCACGTATGGAATGCCATCCTCAAACCTTGTGCCAGTTATAACAGTCTCCATATGCCCATTTAGGGATTCATTTAAGGTCTGGCAGACTTGCTCCTCAGCAATACTTCACCATCACTTGCTTTGTATTACTATATGGATTGAAAGTAATGCAGCCGCCATTAACAAAATGTGTGTATGCGCCATCCATTCGTCCACCCATCCACCCACTGACATATCTACCCATACATTCACCCACACACCCATTCATCCACCCATCCACCTATCCATCCACCCATTCACCCATCTACTCATCCACTCATCTGCCCACCCATCCACCCATCCATCCATCTACCTACCCACCCATCCATCATTCATCCATCTATCCATCTATCTATCCATCCATCCATCCATCCATCCATCCATCCACTCATCTATATATTTACCCATCTATCCAACCCATTCACCCATCCATCCACCTATCCACCCATCCATCTATCTACCCATTCACCCATCCATATATCTCCACATCCATCCACCCATTCACCCATCCATCCACCTATCCACCCATCCATCCACCTATCCACCCATCCATTCATCCATCCGTCCATTCATACATCCATATACCCATCTACCCATTCATTCACCCATTCACCTATCCATGCACCCATTCACCCATCACCCTATCCATCCACCCATTTATCCATTCACCTGTCTATTCATTCACCTATCCACCTACCCATCTACCCATCTATCCATCCATCCATCCATCCATCCATCCATCCATCCATCCATCCATCTATTTCTGGAACAAAGAGATGATTCCTGTTTGAGGTCATTGAAACTTAAATTTCATACCTCTGAATGGATTTGGGTGCTATATTCAAGTAAAAGTAGGCGGCTGAGCGCTGTGGTGGCTCATGCTGTAATCCCAGCACTTTGGGAGGCTGGAAATTGGGCAGATCACCTGGGGTCTGGTTAAAAACCAGCCTGTTAACATGGTGAAACCCCGTCTCTACTAAAAATATAAAAAGTAGCCAGGTGTGGTGGTGCATGCCTGTATCCCAACTATGGAGGCTGAGGCAGAGAATTAAAAGCAAACCAGCGAAATGAGAGAGGTTGCAGTGAGCCAGGATGGCTTACCACTGCACTCATTCTAGGCAATAAAATGAACTCATCTCAAAAAAGAAACGACAAAAGCAAGTAAAAGTAAATCTAAGAAGCTCCCATTTTAGGAAAATATTTACTTAATTTGAAGTTGTTATTGTTGTTATTGTGGGTTATATGCAGGGTCTTAAGTACATTTCATTTTAAGCAATGGTCCATTTGAGATTCAGTCAAGTTGTTCCATTCACCTGCCTGACCTTCCACAGCACTGCTTCTTTATCCCTTCATTTTAAGACTCTTGCCTCTAGTAACCACTAAATTGGCAAGGGCAGAGATGAATAGATGAAGGAGAGAGTGGAAGGAGATAACTGGAGGGAGGGAGAGAGAATGGGTGAAGTATCTCACAGTTAAGGGACACATTTGCTGAAAGAGTTTGGCAGGGACCTAATATATTGAATCTCAGTGCTTTTTGGGTCAGGGACCACTTTCCTCGAATGGTTGCCTTTATGAGTTACTCCACAGCAGTCAGTCAGGAACACAGGACTCAGACAGCAGCCTTTCCCAAACTCCCTCTGGTGAGCAGATGGCTCAGCTGCTTTGTACAGCTACACTCTCTCTCTTTCTCCCCATCCTATCTTGGCCTATGCTCCCCACACCTCCAAGCCAAACCAGCCAGGCCTTCCACTCAGGACTGCCCAGGGCTTCTGAGAAGAAGGCTCTTCGCTCATGGTTTCCTGATTGCATAGGCCCTGCCCTCCAGCCCCACTGGCCCAGGGGTTCCTATTAGCAAACACCCTGATTTGTAGTTTTGTTTGTTTGTTGTTTGTTGTTTCCTGAAAGTCTTGCTCTGTCACCCAGGCATAGAAGGGGATTCAATGACATGATCTTGGCTCAGTACAGGCGTGCACCACCACACCTGGCTAATTTTTGTATTTTTAGTAGAGATTGGGTTTCATCATTGGCTTGGTGGTCTCAAACTCCTGGCCTCAAGTGATCTCCCCACCTTGGCCTCCCAGGAAGGCTGGTTCTACAGGCATGAACCACTGTGCCTGCACCTGGTTGTTGTCTTTCACATTACGTTTATATCTACCTGCTGTAACAAATTGTGCCCAGCTCCTCTTTTTTTCTTTGCTTAGCTCCCTGCCCTCCACAGGAGCACACTGAGACCTAGAGGCGGATTCGTTAAATCTTCCTCTATTTTCTTCTCTGGTTAGATGGTGTTCAAATTTGTTTACACAGAGATAACTGTTCTCTTGCTTTTTGTAGATTGTATAAGTCAGAAAAGAGATGTGACCCTGTATGAATAAGTGGGAAGTGTTACTTCGTCATTATTTTAGTCAACAAGATAGAATTTTCTTGGTTTCCTAAACTTACTGAGTCAGTTATATAAACCCCAAATGTTTTTATTCCAACTTTTTGTATTTTAGAAGAATTCAGCTCAATACATTTACACAAACTAAACACACTCAGTAACCAACATTCAAAGGGAAAAATAGGTCACTGCAACATCATCAATCCCGATCTATTCTGGGCTCCGAATCCACCATCATGGCCCCTCTCAGCCACTGCCTCTTCTGGGCAACTACCAGCCCCAC